AGTTATATAAAAAATGAGTAACTCTTTAAACTAAATATAAAAACTGTTTAAAAAAACTAAATATTTAACAAATTTCAGTCTTTCATTAATTTGGAATAATTATACAACTTTACTACTCTTTTACTGAGAGTACTACTATTTATAGCAAAAAAAAGATAAGTTGAATAATAATATTAAAAATATAAATTATAATTTTTTAGAATATTTTTTTATCTTTACATTTATAGAAATTGTACCAAATATACCTCAGAAAAAAAACCTTCTTTTTATGAAATATAGTTATTGCATCTAAAATTTATTATGTTTAGAATTTATTCTTCATTTATATTAATGAAATTTGTGCTTGTAAAAGTTTTTTTTAAGAAATCTTTTTTTGATAATATTTAATAATTGGTTTTTTTAAGGTTTTTTTACGATATATATATTTTTATTGATATTCTATATTAATTTATTATTATGTATAAACATTGAATATATCTGTTATAATAATAACTATTTTATTTTAAAATTATACAGAAAGGTACAGAATGAGTACTCATACTACTAATATTTTTAGTATAATGTAGATTTATGTTGATTATTTTTTACGTATAAATTTATTCTTCTATTAATTATTGTTATTTACTTATTTTATATCTATGAAAATATCTTTTTTACTTTGTCTTATTATAAATAAACTTGATAGTGACAGTATTTTTTTAATTTTAAAATATCTTAACCTATTATATATATTTACTCTTTATTAACTTTATATATATATATTAAATCTTTGAATAATTTTTTAATTTAAAAATAGCCTCTAAGGAAAACTGTAGAATTTTTATATTAAAGTTTACACAATTTTTATTATTTTTATTAATAATTAATAAAAAATAATTTTAAGTACTGTTAATAAAAATATTAATAAAGAAAATTGTAAATGAATATAATACTACAAAAAAATATATTTTAATAGTTATTATATTAATAATTATTTAATTATGTGTATTTTGTTTTTATATATTTTTATATAATATAAATATAGTTTGTATTTTATTAGTATATAAATAGACTATTTATGTATAACATTTGTATTCATTATTTATCGCAAAAATTATTCAGAAAAATATAAATTTATAGCGTTTTTTATATATAACATAGTTTAAACATAGATTATATTTGAAAAATAACGAATAACTTTATTATATATATGTAAAACCATAATATATATTCTTACACATAAACTATTTGTTATCTTATAATATAAAAACTTTTTAGTTATGAAAAAATATATATATTTAAACTTTTTCTTTATTTTTGTTTATTAAAAAATATAATATTTTATATTTATACTTGATGTATCATATTTAGTTATTTTTAAATATTATTTATATTATAATAGAATTGTTGATCTATTTATTATATTCGAAAAATAAATAGTAAAGTGTGTACTTATATGTAAAACTAAAATATTTATTATTTATAAATTTTTTTTAATTTACTATATATATAGTAGTAAGAATATTTTTACTTTTTTTTTGTTACAGAATAATTATTTACGTATAATTAATATATATATATATATATTAATAGTTAGAAGGACGGTGCCACATATATATATTAGTAAATCGCTATTGTATTAGTGTACTATACTGGAACGCTATTATATAAGGAGTAAACATTAATTAGTTAGCCACAACTAATCATCTTTACACCACGGTGGCACCTTTTACGAGAAAAAAATTGAATTCTAGTTTAATACTGAAGAATCAAGTTTAATAATGCTATTTACGTTCCATTAATTTGTTTTTTTTCTTATTAAACGTTATTACTATAATTATGAAAAGCATTTTTAAAACCCTTCATAAAATTAGTTTTTCTTTTATTATTATAACTTTTATAAGACTTTATATTCACTAGCATAATACTTAAGTAGTACTATAAAATCCCGAAAATTATGTTTAGTATTGCTTACGTACCACTCAGTTTTCTACTTTTATAAACATTATAAGTTTTATATAACTAATATTTAAGAGAAGATATTCTAATTTTTTTTTAGGAAAAATAAGTTTTTAATAAAACTATTATAATTTATCTTATAATAGAACATTTTATTAACTATTTTTAGTATTATTTGAAATATTACTTTTTATCTTTTTTGCATATAATTTTTTTTTTATATTGCTTACTTTATATTATTTTTAAGAGGTGTTCAACTTCTTTATATATACATCTTAAAATTCTTTTCATTATAACTGAAACTATATATTTCTATAATATTATATATGTTATATTATTTCTAAACAGTACTTATTTATATTTTTTACTTTCTTAGTTACTTCTGATTGGTGCAAAGAGGGGTTATTTATGAATATTCGTCCAGAGTTTTTCGTACGTTATTTTATATATATTATTAGTTATTATTATAAGCTTTATTATGTCATTATATATATTATTATTTAAAATTATTATAACTGTTACTATTATTATTATATATATTGTAAATATTTATATTATTTTATATTTTTTACTATTTGTACAATTATTTGTTATTATTGATATCATTGGTTAATGTTAATTTTATCATTATTGTTAATATTATTGTCAATATTGTTACATAAGGACGCTTCTCCCATCTCAAAATCTAGTTTTCTTGAAAATTATGAAGTTGTTTTCGTGGATTTTTCGGGTTTTCTTAATATTTGCGCTCATATGACACGTGCACATTATTTAGAGGTTTGCGGTTGTATTATTGTTATTATACTTTTATTAACTTTTCGCTATTATTATATTACTTATGATTATTATTTTTAAATTTTTTGTTAATTTTTTTTGGCTTAACTGTTATTTATTATTATTTGCTACTAATAGTACATCTAATTTTTTTTTATTAGCTATTTATCATTATTACTTTAAAATTTTACTTAATTGTTATTTATTCTACATTTTTATCATTTATCTGCCATACATATCAGTAATACTTTTATTTTTTTATTATTATGCTTATTATATTAATATATATGTATATATTGCTATTGTTAATTTATATTAATAATTATAGCTATTATTTTTATTTAGTTAAAATATGAAGCGACGTTGACTTTGTCTGTTCTCAATGATTATCATGTGGATCAGTTTCATTATCTTTTTATAGAAAAAGTTTTCTTTTATAAAAAGTTTGATAGTTTTCTTCAGTAAGTTGCTTTTTAATTCTCCTTATAATATTTATAATTCATAAATTATTATTATTCTTTACTACTGTTTGTGTATTATTATGAATTCTACTTGCTAAGTTAATTTATTTCTTTTTTACTTTTATAATTCACGATTATCTATTGGTTATTATTTAAAAAGGTTAATTAATAAAAAGTTTGATAATATTATAAATAATATATTATTTCATTAATGTAATTAATGAGTTTAGAATTCAATTTTTTTTTAAATTTTTTATACGTTAATTTAATAATTACTTTTAGTATTATATATTCATATAATTTCTATCTATTTTTATTTAACATTATTTATTTTTATTCAAAATTTAAAGAAGTTAACTACTGAAAAGTTTGATTTTTTATAAAATATATTGTTCATTTTATATAATTTTTTTATAACTAATGAATTTTAATTATTTAGTATGTTTAAACCAATTTATATATTATTGTTATATTTATATATTTATAAACTTTTATTCTTTACTATTTTCTTATATATTCTTATTTGGAAAAGTTTAGAAGTGAAATGTTTGTATACGTAAATAATATAATTTTATTTTACTATATATATTTAATTTTGGTATTACGCTATTAATTTTAATTATATATTTATATAATATTTGTTATTTACAAGTTTAAAGAAGTTAGATACTGGAAAGTTTGATAACTATATATTAATGTATGAAGATTTCGATGTCATTAATGAATTTATCATTATTTTATATTTATAACTTGATTTATATATTGATTCTATTATTATTTTCACCTTGTTTATGTAATAATAAACTTATTATTTTCTATTTATTATTTATCTTATTTAGAAAAGTTAAGAAATGGAAAGTTTGTTAATTTTATAATAATTATAATTTCTTAATATAATTTTTGAATTTTATTATTATATTTAGTTATTATTTAAAATTATTATATATTTATAAATTTATTTACTAAATGATTAATATTTATATATATTTTATTTCAAATATTCATTATTTATTATTATTGTTTGCAAAAAGTTATCTGATAAAATTTGTTGTTAAAAAAATTATTATTATATTTTAATATTTCTATAAAATATTTATTTTTCTATTTACATTATTTACTTCTATTTATATACATTTTTCAAAAGTTTTCTTATAAAATTTTTGATACTTTATTACTTTATTACTATTAATTGAATGTTGTTAGTGAATTTTTGTTCACCTTTATATCTTTATTATTAATACATGTTATAATTATAAGTATAACCATTTATTACTCATTAATGTTATTATTATTATTAACTAATAAAAAGTTTGATGATTTTATTTAATTTTTTGTTTTTAAAATTTTATATGAATTTTATTTATTTCATGTAAATATTGTATATTAAATTTTATATACTTATTACTTTATTATTATTATTATTATTATTATTATTATTATTATTATTATTATTATTATTATTATTATTATTATTATTATTATGTAAGCATCTCACACGAGAACATGGAAAAGGTAGTTAAAGATAAAAACTTTTTAGTGGGAAGCATGATTACTTATGGGGGCCCCCTTAATACTTATTGTTCTAAATATATTGAAGAAGTGCTCAGAACTGGACTTACCGACAGATATTTTTATTATATATATTTTTTATATATTTATCCTATTTATATTATTATTAATACTTCATATATACTTTTTACATTGATTTATTATTTTTAAATATTTATTAATTATCATTTATATATGTATTAATTATTTTTATTTTTATTCTTGTTATTATTATTATATATAATATATATTTATTTATTTTTATATTATAAGCTATTTCTTTTGGGAATGAGAGAATCCAGGAAACTTTCTCTATGGGAAGTAACTCGTCCGCCTGTTCGTATTGAGGATATTTCTTGGCTTTCTTATGGGCTTTTGCTTGATTATAATAACGCTGGACGCATGCTTGATGAGGGCCCCCGCGCAGACGATACGTTAGAAGGTTTCTTTCTCCATTATTTTATAGTTAAACTGTATCAAAATTCAAAAAGGGTTTCGTATACTGAAATTGTTTGTCTTAATACTTTTTATAAGAAACTGGTTAATATATAGAAACATGTGGCTTGTAGAAAGTAATAATATTATAACTCTAAGACGATTTGTTAGAAGATTTTTTATTATTATTTTAATTAAAACTATAAAAAAACTTTTGAGGGGTTATTATTTTTATGTAGAAATTGTTTGCATTAGTACTTTTTGTAAGAAACTATTGTTAAGAAACATTGTTAATTTTATTTAATATTTTAGTGGTTATAAGAAAGTAATAACAAGAATTTTTATGAAATTACTATATTATAAAAACTTTCGAGTTTTTAGTGCTTCTTATAAGAAACTATTGTTGTGAGAGAGAAACTATAAGAGTATAGTATTTATCTGGCTTATAGGAAGGTAATAATATATTAACTATAGCAAGACTTCTAAGGAAATTTTATTTTGTATATTGGAACTATAATAGTAGTAATTTATATTAGAAAATATATAGAACCTTAAAGCTTTTATATGTTTATTTGTGTCGCCTATGGAAAACTATTATATTATAAAAAAAGTTATCAATATTTTGTGTTTTATTTTTAAAGTAGTAATACCTTCAAGAAATTATTTATTAAACTTATTGTTTGGTTATAGGAAACTTTTTTATTTATATTGTTGATATGTATAAAAATTTTAGTTTAACTTAATAATTAATAGAAAAAGTTTTATAAAATTATTAATAAATATGTATTATTTGGTTTCCATATATATACAATAATCATTTTTGTAGTTATTTAAGTATAACTATTATTATTAATAAATAACTTAAATAAATTTTTTATTTATTATATTCTGATGTTAATATTACTTATCAAAACTATTATTATATAATATTTAAAGTCTTATATATATTTTGTTATAATGAAAGCAATTTTTATTAATGAATTTTATCACTAAAAACTTGTTCTTTTTACTATTAAAGTATAACACTTTTAGAAAGCTTTCAAAGTTTTTTTTAATTACCGTAAAATATTAGTAATTATAAGAAAATCTAATTAATCTTAAAAATATTTTTTAAAACCTAAAACATGTAAAGTTTATTTTATAATAAAAATATTAAAAGCGCATATGTAATTTATGTTATTACAGAAGCATTTTTTTAATTAACTTTTTGGTAGTAAACTATTAAGTAAGTAATATTAATAGTAGACTAATTTTTTTAAAATATTTATTATCATTGTAAAAGAGATTTTATTTTTTTACCAACGTTTTAGTAATAAACTAAAGTATTAGTATAGTAAAAAACTTTGTTATCTTATAATAATAATTATTGTACCTTCGAAAGCTCAAAAATTTCGTGAATTTTGGGGTTCGAAGGCTGAACTGCGGTGCTTTGACGACCGCGTCATAAGGGAGACAACCACGTGGGACTTACTGGAAGGTTCGGGAAATAACGATAACCAATGCACTCGCCGAAGCCCGCACCTTGTGATTGAGGCCATATGCCTTTATTTACTTCATTTCTATTTTGGTATCGCGAATTTTTCTTTCAGCGATTCAAATTTAATTTTTGTGTACGATCAGGTTTGTTATAACTATTAATATTAATTATCATTATTATTGCTCATCGTTATTATCATATACGTATTTATTCATCATTTTATTGAAATTGTTATCTTTATTTATTATTTATAATATATAATTCTACTTAATTAACTTCATCGTTACTAGTTATTACTTTATAGAATTTATTATAAATATTTTTATAAATTTTGTAATGTGTATTATTAGCTATATATTATTGTAATATCGAACATCATGATTATTGTTATTTAATATATTATAGAAATTTGTTATCTTTATATATTATTATTTTTATAATTATTACTAACGGTATACTATTATAATTATATAACTTCATTGTTTTTATTAATTATTGTATTATAGATTTTATTATTTATATAATTGATTTTATAATTATTATTAGTACTATTATAACTATGTAAATTCATTGTTATTACCAATTATTATATTATAGAAATAGTTATTTTTATTAATCGTTACTTTTATAATTATTACTAACCCATTTTTTATTATACTCTTTATATTATTTTATAGAGTTTGTTATTTTTTATTATTATTATATTATTATTCTTTCTAATTTTACTCCTTTCTTTCATGATACGTTTATTATTATTATTTATATTAATAATGCATCATTTTTATGGTTAATTAAATTCATGATTTTTCGGTAAATTTATTACTTATTTTTACATTTTTTATAAATATAATTATTATTAATAAATTCTATTTTTCTTATGTACTTTAGTAAGTTTACTTATTTTATACTATTTATTCATATTATATTTATTCTTATTATTTAGCTTTATTATTTATTTAATAATTTTAATATATTTTACTATTATCGTTACTACTGAGCTTTTCATATTATGTATAAATATTTTGTTCATTTGTTCTTAATTAGCTTTATAATGTCTTAATAAATAATGTTAAAAATATTAGTACCATACTATTATATTAGTATTATGAGGTTTTTTTATAAATTTATTTTTATTTGCATTTTATTACTATTTTACTATTTTTGTTATTTATAAGGTTTATAATATTTTAAAAATATTAAATATATTTTGTTACTATTTTATTATTGTTAGTAATTTGCTTAATTTTTTATAATAAATATATTTTTTCAAATATTTTATTAATGTTTTCTTATAATAGTTATTAATTAGCTTCATAATTTTTTTCAGGTTTATTATTATTTTTATTAACATCATTAGTATTTTTTTATTAATATTATTTTTACTGGTTTGTCTCATTAGTTTTAAATATATTTATTATTATTTTCTGTTTTTAATAGTTAAATATTATTAAGTAACCTTATCATACCTTGACAAGTTTAATATTATGCTATTATTTAGTAATTTTTTTTATTGTTATTATTCAGCTTCCTTATTTTCCATAAATATTTTTATTTTTTATTATTATTAGTGTATTATTGTTATTGTTTTTAACTTTTCTTCATGCTTTCACGTTAAGTTTCTATAATATTTATAATTATAATATAACTCTAGTTATTTAGCTTCATTAGATTTTGAAAATTTTATTATTTATTTTCTTTATTAATTTTTATTATTATTTTAATTTTAAATTAATAATTAGCTTCATAATTTTTTGGTAAGTGGTGGTGGGGCCGATCTAAATCCATCCAATCGTAGCCAGCAAATCTTGAATCAAATTTCCTCTCAGGTATTGTTATTATCAATACAACTTGAATATTTTTATTATTATATTTTATCTTTTAATTTTTACTTGTGTTTGTTAGTTAAAAAAATTTTTATTTTATATTTATATTTTATATAAACTTTTCATTCTTTCATTGTGCTTGTTATATTTTTTTATAGAGAATTATATTATACTATTTACTATATTATTTTCTATAAAGAGTCAAGTTATTGCCCTGCACGAGGAAATCATTAAGCAGATTAAAAAAGCAGATCTTCCTTTATACGTTGCTAATTTCTATACAACTTCTCCTCTTCTTCGTTATACTGAAGTTATTCTTCCTCCATACTCGGGTATTATTATTATTAATATTAGTAACTTAATTTATTATTTCTATTTTTTTTGTATTATTAAGTATAATGCATATATTATCATTACCTTTAAATAATAATAACATATTTATATATAAGTAAATAATTATTCTTTTGCTAATGTTCTATTATTATTACGTTTAATATTATTGTATTTGTATATATTTTATAAAAACAACTTTTATTTTATATATTTAAATTTTATTTATTTTATTGATAATTATTAAATTTATAATAATTACTACTATTATCAAGCTTAATGCATTTATAATTTATTAATTTTCTTTTTAAAAATAACTATTATTCTTTTTTTTATATGTATATATATATGCTATTATTATACTATTAACTTAATACACTTCCTTAATATTTTTTTCCATTAAGATAACTTTTATGTAATATTCTTTTTTATAATAGTAAATTGTTATAATTTTAGTAAATGCTATAAAAAAGTATAAATAAAAAATAAAATATTTAACATATAATAATTATTATAAGTTAAAAAACATTGAAAAGGTACAAAAGTTTTATAAAAAATAATAAGTAAAAAAAGTCATATGGATTATAATACTTATAAATTGTTAAAAGAACTAATAAAAAATAATAAATGCATTAGAAAAGTACGAATGTTTTATTACAAATAATAAAATAAAAAAAGTCATTTTCATTATAATTCTTTTAATAGTTAAAAGAAATATCAAAAATAGTGAATATCTTAATTGTTCAAAAGTTTTATAATAACTAATAACTAAAAAAGTAAAAAAAGTTAATATATCATAATACTTATAAATTGTTAAAAGAAATATTTATATATAGTAAGTGTACTAGAAAAGTACAATTAACTAGTAATCAGTTGTAAACGTTTCGGCTTCCTTACTTTGTATAGCTATTAATATTTTTTATATAAATAACTTTTATTTATTTTTAATATAAATAAACTATTTTTTTTTATTGCTTATATATTTTTATTAAACTTAATACTTATTATTTTTTCTTATTGATTATCTATCTTGATGCTTATATCAATTTTTTATAAATAACTTTTAATTTTTTATATAAATAGACTATATTCTTTTTTATTAATATTTTATTATTATTATCACTATCATAATTATTATTATTCTTATTAAGCTTAATACATTTTTCATAAATATTTCTAAAAATAATTTTATTTTTTCATTTATAAGTAGACTCTATTCTTTTGATTAATGTTCTCTTATTATTTTTAATATTTTAATTTTTAATATTCTCAAAGTCAATACCTTTTATCTAAATATTTATATTAATAACTCTTATATTTTTTTTATATGAATAGACTTTATTCCTTTTATTGATATTCATCTTCTCATGGAGAGCAGCAGCAAATGGCCGGATTGTTATGAAGCCATTCAGAACGTAAAAGTTGCGCTTTATTTAAAATTGGCATCTTCATTGGAAGTAATGATTATTATTTTATATATAATAATAATTATTATTATTTATTACTCATTATTATATTTTATTATTGTTATGTTTGATTTCTATTATTTATTATTTTGTATTAAAATTATTATATCGATATTTTATTATTTGCAATTAGTATTTTTAATTATTACTCTCTTTGTTATTTATTACTATATTTTATTATAATGATAATATGTTATATTTTATTATATATTATAATTACTAAATATTTACTATTATTATATATTACTATCTTTAATATTTTTTATTATTTCTTTATTGTACTCCTTAGTATTACTATTTATATAGTTATTATAATATAATATATAAATTTTATTATTGTTATTTATTATTATCTTAAATGTTATTCATTATTATTTGAGTTATTATTTATTTTATATTTTACTATTTTTATTAATACTTTTATAATTATTATTCTTTTTATATAACCTTTAGTAACATTCTTTATTACTATCATTAACATTATATTGTTGTTATATATTTATTATTTTTCTTTTTATAGTTTATTATTTTTACTATTATAATTATAATATTATTATATATTATTATCATATTTTATAATATTGTATGTATTTTACATTATAAAAATTATTATTATTTCTATTACTGTCAATTGTATTATTTATTTTTATATTTTATCATTACTATTTATAATTCATTATTTATATTATTACTACCATAAATAATATTTATTTTGTATAATTATTATTTATTTTATTTTTTATTATTTCTATATCCAAGTCCTTTGAAAGTGAAGCGCTTCAGTGTTTTGTTACTCCAGCACACTTAGAAGTGTTAAAAGGCGGAATTGCGTTCAAGATAAGAATTTTTGTAGAGCGAGAAGGTTTTTTTATTTATTTTTTATATGTGAAAATATATTTTTACTTCTAATTATTTATATACTTTTATATATTAAATCTTTTTTAATATTATTGATATGTAAAAAAATAATATTAGCTGGATGAGAAAGTTATTTTTATATATATATAATATATTTTTATTTTTTATTTTAAATATAAATATAATTTATAGCCTTTTATATTAAAATATTTTTTAATATAAATTAATATTGTTGAGCGGCAAAGTTTTTTTTATTATTACTAAAATAAAATATTAATTACACACTTTTATATATAAATCTTATGTAACATTGATATTTAAAAAAATAATATTTACTAAGCGTGACTATTTATATTTTTTATTTTCATATATAAAAATATATCTTTATCCTCATTTTTTTTTAGTAAAATACTCTTTATAGAGTTTTATTATGATATAAATTTCTATTTTTTACTTTTGATTATATTTTTATTATTTTCAAATTATTTATAATTATAATATTCGTTGAGCAAGAAGGTTTATCTATACTTTATTAATTAAATTTTATTTAATTCTTATTCTATAAATAATATTTTTTATTAATGATATATTTGAGCGAGAAAATTTTTATTTATTATTTTTTTATAGTATTATATAATTGTATTCATATTTTTATAATAAAAATATTGTAAATAACTTTTTTTTTTTAATTTATTTATTTTTATTATAATTACCCTTTTTTTTTTTCAAATATATACTTTTAATATATTATTAATAATAAAATATTGAACGAGAAGTTTTTTCTTCTATTATATATAATAATATATATTTGTGTATATTTTATAATATTGTACATTTTACAATAATTTTAAAAAATTTTTATATTTTGTACGTAAATATATATTTGTATTTATTTTTATTATATTACATTTATATTTATTATAAATATGATTTTCTTTTTTTGTAAGAAAGCAATTAATATATAAATTTTTATAATTTTAATATTTAACTTTTTTAACTTATATTTTTTAGTATATTTTTTTTTCATTTTTATTAGGTTATATATATTTATTACTAATATGATTTACTTTTTATATATAATACATACGTAAAATTTTTAAATTTTTCTCTGAATTTTTTTTATAAATTTTTTTAAGTATATTTTTTGTTATATTTTTTTCTTATTTTTTCTTTTATATATTTTTTTTTAGTATTTTATTTTTATTACAATATATTAACCTCTTTTTTAATTATATATTTCATCTTTTCTTTTTTTTAATTATGTATACATTTATTATATATTATTTTATTAAATATTATAGATTTTATTTATATTATTTCTTCAAAAAATTTTTTAATATCTTATTAACTAAAAAAATCAAAATTTTAATTTTATTTAATTTTCATAAACTTTTTCTATTATATTTAATATATTTGAACATTTGTTTTTATTATAACTTTTAAGTAGTTTTTGAATATATCTTATAATAATTTTTATGTGGGCAATGTATTTTTTATATATAATTTATAATACTTAGAATTTTCTACAAAAAAATATATTTTTCCAGGTTTTCTACTTCGTTCAATTCTTTGTGATCTAGTAAAAAGCTCTATTTGGCTCAGAACTTTCTATATAAAACCACGTCTCCATGCTCTTTTACAAAATGTTCATTTTCAGGTATTTATTAAAGTGCGTATATTTAATTTTTTATTTATTAATATTATATAACTTCTCCCTTTTTTTAATACTTATTAAATTGATTTAAAACTACTATTTTTTTTTTTAGACTTTTATTATAAGTATTTTATATATTTACTATTATTATTATTATCTATAAATATTTTTTTTATAATTTTTTTAAAGGGCTTATATATAGTCTTTTACCATTTTTTGTTATTTATTATCATTTTTTACTTTTAGAATAATGTTAAATTTTTAAATGCTTATTAAATATACTTCTTAAAAAACTTTTATTATAATGTTTCAATATATTTATATTTCTTAATGTTCTTAACTTTTTTATATTTTTGAAGCGCTTATTATGTTTATTTTTTTATAACTATTATTCTGTATATTATAAATAATATTATTATTTCAGTTTTATAAGGTGCTTATTATATTCTTTTTTTTTATAACTATTTTTATATAATAATTTTTATTATTACAATAATTATTATATTCTAATTTTTATAGCTTATTATTATGACTGTTTTTGTTTATCCATTTATGAGTTATCAACTCTTTATATCATTATTGTTTCTACTCTTATAAACTTATTCAACTATTATTTAATATATTATTTTTTTATTTTTAATATTTTTATTAAATCACTTTATTTTTTTATCGTTTATTAATATTTTTATAACTATTATAACTCTATTATTATTATAAATTATTATTTTTATTACTGTTTGTTATATACTAATGTTGGTTATTCTTTCGTTTATTATTATTTATATATTTTGTTTATTTTATTTTAAATTTATATTTATCAAGATTATAACTATTATTACTTATAATTACTATTCGTCTTATTTTTATTATACATTATTATTATACTTATTATTACAAATTTTAATATAATATTATTTTTTACTTTCTGTTTTATATTAATATTATTTCCCAATATTATTTATATTATTATTACTTATAATTAAATGTTTGTTTTTTCTAATAATATATTAATATTATTTATTTTTTTGTTATATTACTCATTTATTTTTATTTTTTACTATACGTTCGTTTTTTTTTTTTTATTAATATAATTATAACTAATTTTTCTCATTTCTATTTTTATTTTAATTATTAATGTTATTTTCTTTTTTAATTATTGGTAGTATTATTTATTACTACTCGTATTATTTTTTATTATATATTATATATTATTTATAATTTTTTCTTTAATTACTTTTATATTATTAAATTTTATGAGTTATAATAATATTATTATTTCGTTTGTCTTATTGCTATTATTTATATTTTAATATTATTAAAAGTTTATTACTCATTATTATTATAGTTTCCAAGTTACAGTGAAACGGCCCGGTTGTTTAAGCGCTGGGTTCATTCTCATCTCTTCTCTAATTTTTATGAAGATGAATTTTTGGAGCTTCTTGTTGCATCAGTTTACCTTAATTCCTTCCCGTATAGCCCTCCAGGGTCCCTTTTACAAGGATTTTATCGGTTTATTTTTTTACCTTTTTTGTTGTACTTCATGTAAATTTTATAAATTTTAATTTGTTATTTCTTCTGAATATTTATTATTATTGGCTGATCTTTTTTAGATTTTTTTTTATTCGTGTTTAATAAAATTGTACGCTTTTTTAGCTTGGTAGGAAATATTCTATATTTTGACACATTAAAATTATTGAATTTCAACCTTTTTTTTAATTGCACAATTTTAATATGTTGGTTTCATTGTTTTTTCTTGTAAGTTATTGGATCTTTCGTTCTTTAATTTTTTTCTATAAGTTTTTTGTATAAACAATAGGAGTTAAAAAAACATTAAAAAAGTTATGAAAAAGTTCGGATATATATTATTAACTTTTTCATTCTTTTTATTATTAAATATATTTTTCCTTTATATTATTATAAAATTTTTTTTTATAATTATTATATAACAGAAACTTAATTCTATTTTTCTTATGTATACTTTTGTTATTGATATTATAATATTTTTTTTCATTTTATAATTTACTTGTAAATTTTTTTTTTCAATTTTTTATTATATATAGATTTATTTGTTCTTTAATATGTATTGTTATTATTTTTACTTTTATTTTATTTTATAATAATAATATTATATAATATATAGTATTTTCCTTGTTTTAATTAATTTTTATACTTATTATATAATTTTTTTATATTATTATTATTATAAGTTATATTTTTAGATAATAAAGCAATTTTGAAAAAATTGTTTTTTCATATATATTTCTAATATTAAATTATTTTTATCTATATTTTTATATTTTTATTAATATCTACTATATATTTGCTTATAATATTTTTAAATAATATTTAATAATTATCTTTTTATAATATTTTTTATATTTTTCTCTAATTTTTTTAATCTTTTTATTAACATTTTTAAATATATTTTTTAATAATAAAACTGTTAAAATATATATTATATATATTGGTATTATTAGTTATACACAATATATATATAACTTTACTGCTTTTTTTTTATTTTTTGTCTTTAAAAAATTTTTTTTATACCATTTTTAATAATACTATTATAGTTTATAACAATACAACATTTAATAAATATATGTATATAATATTAATTTTATTATTGTTATATATATATTTCAATACATTTTTCTTTTTTTTATTATACTTTTAAAACTGTAAGTAATTTTAGTATTATCTTTATAATTTTTTTTAAAAAAAAACTTTATTATTTATTATTATTTTCTCTTTTAGAGTTTTAAGTTTTCTTGGGAATACGAATTTTGTTATTACGCCTGTCATTGTCGATTTTGATAGAAGTTTTACTTCCGAAGAGCTTAACAGTATATATAAACTTTCTGAGCTTCCTATTGAAGTCCGGCAAAAGTTGCCTCCTTGCGTTGTTGTTACCTCGCTTGATAGGGAATATAAAAGTAGTATTTTTATTTCTTATAATTGAGATTTATTATTTACAATGAATTCTATAGGAATAGTAATAGTAATAAGAATTATAGATATAACAATATTGTTATACATTACAATAGGGTAATTATGATAGTAATAGTAATAGTATTAATAACAATAATAATATAATGATAATAACAATACTTTATATAATAATCAATACTTTTGCTTTTTATTTTAGTAACACCAGCGGTCTTATATTTTTATAATAATTGTTTTATATATATTACTTTAGTCTCAATATTTTTTTATAATTTTTATATTATAGTAAGTGTCTATAATAATACTTTTATTATTATATATTAATACCGTTATTATGCACGTTTTATGATGTTATATATTAAAATATAATTAAATCATATTTTTTTATTATTTATACCTTCTTTTTTATTTTTTAGGCGGAGATTATTATGAATGGAAGTGCGTTGGGTTCGAGGGCAACACTACCCCCGAAATTTTCAACAGGATTTGTTTATTAGCAAAAAATCACTCTTCTTTTTGGTTGGATTGTGTGCGTCCTTCAACCTCTCTGACCAGTGGCTTAAACTTTTTTGTATTTTGCGTTTTTTAAGATTTTTTCACTTATTATTCACCTTACATTTATATCTTTATAGGTATTCATAATATATAGTATATCTATTATTTATTTTGTATAATTATCTTTATTATTAACATTCTTTATTTTACATTATCATATATTTATATTTTCTTTTTTAAATAATTCTGTTTTTTTCATATTATATATTCTATTTTTATAATATTTCTGTTTTTCTATATTATATTTTTAATATATATTTTTTTATTATGATATTTTATATTTTTTCAAATTTATACTTATATTTATACTTTATGGATTTTTTCTAAATATTTTATATATTTTTATATATATTATTTACTAATTAATATTATTTTTCAAGCGTTTTTTTATCCCGATAACTAAAGATTTCGATCTGCTTATTTCCCTCAAATCCTCAATGGTCACTCGCAAAAGTGAATCTCTTTTTGATAAGCCGAAAGTCTTTAAAAACTTGGAAGTGCTCCACTCTTCTAAAGTGAATAAGTTTTCAAAGGTGAATTATGATCCAGTGAAGAGCTACTTTCAAAGTTTAGTGGTATTTTCATATATATATATATGTAGTTATATACTTTCTTATATGCAATGTCTACACACACGTAAATATATTTATGAACACGTATATAATATGTATAATTTATATTTATATATATTTCTTTATTTTTTATTATATATATTTATTATCCTATTTATATTCTGTTATATTTTTGTTTCACACACAATATATAAATATACTTGTAGTATTTTTTATATAATTATTTATTTATTAATTGCATTATTATATTTATATTAAATGTTTATTTAAACTAATATTATGTACACTTCTTTATTATTTTTCTATTTATTTGTATGTACTTATACAAAATAATATATATACATTTATTTTTTATCATGTATATATATATTTATATAATTGAATCATTTATTTTATTCTTTTCAAAAAAATATATATTTACATATTATTAACTGTACACTTATTTTTTTATATATATTTATTAAATTATTATAGTAAAAATATCTGTACATATATTTATATATCTTTTATTATATACATTTATTTTTAAATCAGTAGTTTTTGATATTTTTTGTATTAATATTTAATAAATTTATTTTTATAATGTATTTATTTTAAATATAAATTTATCTACGTTTATATATCCTATTTTTAATAATATTTAGTACCCTTTATTTTATTTCTATCCATATAAATATATTTACATATTATAAATAATTATTTTTTTTACTTAAAATCTATTTTTTATTCTTTATATTATTAATTCTTTTTTCGTTTCTATATACCTTCATATATGTACTTTATATTTATGTACTATCAATATAATCTTTTTAAAGAAAATATAAATGAATAAGTAATAATATAAATAAATAATAATAAATACATTTATAATTATTCATGAATAAAAAATATAAACATATTAGTTTTTATTAGATAATTCTTTTTATAATAAGTTAATTTATAATAATAATATTTTTATAATAAATAATTACTCTCTCTTATAAAATATTTACATAATTAATAATACTTTTACATCTTATAATATTTTTTTAATTAACGATAAATAATTTTATTATTTAATATTATATAAATAAATTATTAATAAAAATAAATTATATTAAATATTTATAACAAAATAAATTCTATTTAATAATAAATAATAATAATTGTGGATAATAATTGTTATTAAAAAAAATAATATATAAAATAACTACTGAAAGTTATAATTAAATACTTTATAATTTTTTAAATAATAATTATTTTACTTATTAAAATATTTAATATATTCTTGATAATCATATAAGTGAATATTAATTGTTATAAATAATTTTTTATTAATTATAAATAATATGTTATAGATATACAAAGTAATATTTTTTTTAATAAAAGCTTAAGAAATTTATAACTAAATGATAAATATTATAAGTAATTTTTATATAATATAAATTTAAGATTATAATTGTATATTATAAAATTTTATACAACAAATAAATAAATCTAATAGAATAATTTTTTATAATGATATAAATAAATAATAATTACACGCAGTAACTGTTATTAAGAAATTATAAATAAAAATATTATTTTAAGAATAATTATTATAAATAGTTTTTATATATAATCACTGTTAAAATAAAACTCGATATGATAAATAATAAATAAACATATTTTGTTTTTATTTTTTATAAATGAAATAAAAAGTAGTAATATTACTGAATTAAATATCTTTTTATAGAAAAAATTAAGTAAAATTAATAACTGAAGAATAATTTCTAATATAAAATTTTTTATAATATAAATAATTAATAAGAATTTTACATATTTAATTTTTTGTTAAAATGATATATTAAAATAATAATTAAAAATAATAATTATTATAAATAATTTTTTTATAATATAATAATTTATAAGAAATATAGTAACTAATTAATAAATATAATAACTGAAGAATAATGATTCGAAATCAAATAATTTTTTTAATAATAATTAATAATTAATATAAATAAATATACTATTATAAATAATAAATCAAGATAATATAAATTTTTTTAGATGGTTTTTGTTTATACTAATATAATTAATAATTATCGTTTTATTTTTATAAAGTTTAAAATAATTAAAAATAAATATATACAAAATATTCTAAAAAAAACTATAAAAAAATAAAAAAAATGTTATTTTCTCTAAATACACTAATTAATTTTTATATATATCTTTCTGTGTTTTAAACTTATTTTTAGTATACTTTTACTTAAATATTTATTTATTTTACTATAAAATCTAAATATTAATAAGTTAATTATAAATATACTTCTGTTTTATATACTTTATATTTATTTGTTTATCACTTTTTATATTACCTATAAATTTCTTTTGTTAATTTATATATATTTTTTTGTGAATATTTTTTATTATTAAGAAGAGTTTTCTGTAGCAGCTTTTTTTTAAAAAATAAAAATAAATAAATAACTTATAAATAACAAATAATATATCTTTATCTCTTAATTTATTACATATTTTTATCATTGTTATTTATGTTTTTACTTTTTATTATTGTATTTTACTATTATTTTAATTTATATACAAAATTTTTTTATGGAATAATTCTCTGCTTTAGCAATTATTTTATATAAATGATTATATAATTAATTAGTAATTATCCTATTTTTTAATTATTTAGAAACTTAGAAACTTTTTATTATTTACCATTTTTTTACTTTATATATTATTATTATATTAAAGAAATAATTATCTTCTTAAGCATTTTCTATTAAAAAATAAATAAATTTATATTAATTTTACTTTGATTTTTTGTGTTTATATAATTTTTTTATTATAAAATGTTTATTATTATTTTTATGTATATCTACTATTTATTACTAGTAATAATTATCTGCTACTGCACTTTTTATTAAAAATAGTTTTCATTGATTTTTGTTTATTTTATTAACTTTTTACTATACTATATTTACTATTTATTTTTAATTTATATATATATATATTTTTTTTTACCAGGAAGAGTTCTCTTCTGTAGCATTTTTTTTTACGACCAACATGGAGGCTCTAAAATATATGTTTTATGGAAACCTTTAGCTTTTCACCCTAAGCAGTTCACTTTTTCTACAGCAAAAGCATTGAATATTTCCGTTTCTATAATGGTTACTATAATGGTTAAATTTCTTTTTAAGTTTTTCAAAGTTTTCTGTTTTTTTTTTTTTATTTATATTGAATTATTTCTGATATAATTTATTTGTTCAACTTTTAAGTATTTTTATATATATTTATTTTTTATTAATTATTAGAAAATTTATATTTCTTTTCCAAAAATTTTTTAAAATTTTTTGAATTTTTAAAAAAATTATTTATTGCTTATTTACTCTTTAAAAAAAAAACAACGAAGTTACTCTCAGCATCAAAAATTGGTTATTATTTTTAAACAATAAGAAAAATGTAAATATAGTAAAAAGTATATTTTTTTAATACGAAAAATCTCGTAATAGTATTTTTTAAGAAAAGGAAATATAACAATTATAAATATATTAAATTATTATTAATATTTATTTTAATATATTTTTTCTTTTTATTTTCTCAAGGATTGAACTAATAAATCTACTGACAGTTAAAAATAATATAAAAGTTTTCAATAAAATATTATTTTTATATTTTACTTAAATCTAAAATTTGTTAATAATAATATTATAAATAATATATAAAATTGGTATTAATATATATTCTTATAGATAAAGGCTTATTTTTAATAAATAATTTAACAAGCAGACCAATAACTTATACTATTTAAATAAAAATGATAAAAATAAAAGTTATTAATGTTTAAGGCTTTCTTTATTATTTTTAAGAACTTTTTTATTTATAAAACACAAAAAATCATAATATTTTATTAATCGAAAAGTATTAATAAAATATAGTAATAAATATCTATGTAAATTTATATTATAAAATTATATAATTCAAACTTAATTAGTGTAATAAATAAATACAAATGTATAAATACAGCTACTAATAAAAATAATATTACATAATAAATTATTATTATTCTTAAAATTTTATAGAATATAGAAATACTAAAATGTCGAAATAATAGTTAACATAAAAATGCTTGAAAAGTAAAAAATTTAAAATTTAAAAAAAATTAAAAGGTAATAATGTTTATACATATAATATTATAACATTAAATTATTAATAAATTTTAAATCGAACATAATAAATACACATATAGTTATTCTATCAAACAAGTATTCATAAATACTAAAAAGTATATAAATAGTTAATATATATATAAATACTTCTAAGCAATTAATTTATGAACTTTTATATATTAATTAACTATAAAAAGTACCTAATATTTATAATTTTTATTTATATACTACAAAATATAAAGAAATAATAGAAGTAAATATAAAAATTACTTAAAATTTTAAAAAATAGATAAAAAAGTAACCGTTCATGTAAATATTTATTAACTATTATTTTATAAACTTTTTATTATAAATAAATTATAAAAAGTAAAAACAGAAATTTATATATACCTTTCAGCTCGTAATAACAATTTATTTCATGAACTTCACAATTTATATAGATAATAAAAATTAAAACTAACAATTTTCGAAAGCATCTAAATCCAAATAAATAGCCAAAAGTAAAAATAAATATAATTTATTTATAAAAATTTTTATTAACTTTTATTTTTAAACATTAAAATAAATAATTAATACTAAGTAATTACTAAAATAATTATATACATATATATAGTTAACAATTAAATAATAATTTAATATGAATTCAAATATTTATACAGGTGTACATATTTATTAACAATTCATTTTTTGTAAACTTTTCCTATAAATAAATAATTAAATGTAAATATAAATATTTCTAAATATAATATCTATATTTAATAATAACTATTTTTAAACTTTACATTATAAATTATTAATAAAAAGGAAGAAATTAGAAATTAATTATACTTTAATACTTATTACAAAAGTAAAACTTTTGTTTATATATTATTATTTATTAATATTAATAGGCATTCATTATAATTTTTTTTTGAAATAATATTTTATAATTTTTGATATATTAATATATTTTTACATATAATAAATAATATTTTACTTTAATATTATTTTTTTATTAATGTTTTATACTTATTTTTATCTTTTTTTGTGAATTATTAAATAATATTTATAAAAAATTTATTTATATATAATTTTTATTATTCCGGTTTTTTTAAAATAAATAATAATATAAATAGTAATATTCTTTTCTTATTGTTATATTAGTTATCATAAAAAATAATAATTGCTTTAAATTTCTAAATAATAATTTTATTTTAAAAAAATTTCTGAATTATTTGTAATATATATTTTTCTTAATAATATTAAATAATGTTATCTTTTCTTATATTTATGCTTTTTATTATGTATTTTATCTATTGTTTTACATTTTAAAATAACAGTAATTCTGGACTTTCTTCTATTATTTTTTTATTTTGCTTATAAATATTTAATGTTTCATTAATTTTTTTCTATATTATATATTTTTTTATTTGAATAAACTTTTTTATATTTCATAGATGAAAAGTAAGTTTTTTAAGTAAATATTGTACTTTACAGCGTCTAAAGAAATATTTGTTTTAAAATATTAATAAGATTGTACTTTTTATTGACTGAAACCTCCCAATGAAGGCTGCTTTTTTATACGCAATCCAATTATAAGAAAGATATTATAATATTATACTTTTTATTTATGGGAATTTTATTTTTATATAATTTTAAATTACTTTTTATAAAATTTGTTTTATCATAATTTATTATAGGCCGAAAAATCCGATAAGAAAGCAAAAGACTGCTTGCAAATGCTACCAAATATTGTTTATATTCTTTCTTATATGAAGCATTTGGGAAAAGATTTAGTTAAAAATATAGAAATTCTGTAATAATCTAAAATTAAAAATTAAAAAACTTTTTTTAATTTTTTTTTTTCTTGGGCAGTCATTTGGCGTAACTCACGTGATATAGTATATATTACACACGCCCCAACCACATTCTATACGGTTAGACACGTAATTTTCATGGCTGCACCTCCATTTTTGTAGGTCATTCTACTTTGTTACTCTACAATTTTTTAATTTCCATTAATACTTTCGACATACGTTTTTTCGTTTTTCTTAAAGGTTTTATTAATTTTTTTTAGAGCTTAACCGTTTTGAATGGAACTACTGTCACTTTTAATAGTTTGAGTATTTGTTCTTTTAGTTTTCTTAATAAATTAGTCTTTGTAGGCCAAATGAATAAATTTAGGTTATAATCGGTTAATCTTTAAATTAAAAAAAAAGTCAGAAAAGTAACGAAGTACAACGTATAATTTAATAAACCTCATTTGCGTTAATTAAGTTAAATTTTTTAAAAAAACTAAATTGATTGTGTAATTTTCAATAATTATTATAATAAATCAAAGTATCAATATTTCATCTACTATTTTAAAATATGAAGCTCTCTGAAATTTTATATAATTATTTTTAAGAGTACGTAAATTTATATTTCGGCTATTTTTGGTTTATATAATTCTTATTTTAAACCGGAGATGACTTTGTTTAATCGTTTTGGTTTTTACAAATTAATTTAGTTCGTTAGATTCTTTTCATGGTTATATATTATAATCCTTTACTTTTTAGCTTTAGTAATACTACACTAGAAAACATAGATTTTTTGAACAACACTGTTTTTTAAATTGTTCTCTACTTCCTTAAATTTGCAATCTGAGTAAAAAATTATACTATGAAAACTTAATTTTTCTTTAAACTGTAAATAAATAATTAACTACATCACTTTCTATATATATAATTATCATCATTTTTAAATTTTTTGGTTATAACACGATATTGATAATAGCTCTTAATCAGTTTACTTTTATATTTTTACGTTACAAATCCCCCCTCTCGAAGCTATTTTTTAAAAACTGCCTTTAAAGCTGATTTAAGCTTATAAGTGGGCTATTGCAGGGATAACATATATATATTACTCGAAAATGCTTCTTAGTTTTATTTAACAGGATTTACTTATTCAGTTCAGGAAATCGTATAGTTAATGCCTTTTATAAATTATTCCATAGTTAACTTTTTTCTATTTGCTAAAGTTTTATCGCTGGGCCCGTTCTCCCAATTTAAAAAAAATATCGACAGAGTTCATTACAATTACTTAATCTCATAAAAAGTTTCGAAAGGGGATCGGTTTTATTACCTTTAAATAATATATATATTTAATAACTATTTATAAGTTATTATTATCTAAAAGGTGTATACTACTTTCTCATAAGGAAACAAAAAAGTTATATTTGATTCCATCTTTTGAACCAATATATATCTAATAATTCTTGATAATTTATTTTTTTTATTCAAGAAAATGTAGTCCACTTTACAAATAAAAATCTTAAATAATTATCAATAAATTAAGTACTATACCTGCATTTTTAAGTATAAGTTGCCCTCTACGGGTTTCACATTGAAAACTGTTTTGCTGGATTTTGCTATACAGTTTTCTAAGGCTAACTATTAACTCCAATATGCTGATGCCAAGTAAAACTTTCACTGCGGAAAAGAGTTTTTAATATTATAATATTTATATATAATTATGTTAAATAGTAAAGAAGTTTATAATAATACTAAATAGAGAACTTAGTAGTAAAAAAATATATAAGTATGAAGTTTTTATTATTCAACTAAAAAAGTATTATAAAATATAATAAAAAAATTTTACCAAATAATTATTTGATAAAATATAATATAGTAAAATTAAAGCATTTTTTGTTCAACTTAAGATATAAAAATTTTACTTTCAAACCTTTTTTATCAAAGGCACTTGGCAAATAATTGCATTTCATGATGACAAAAGGCAAATTGTTCTTTATGATTCTGAAAACCGTCAGTTATGTGTTAAAAGAAATGATAAGACTAATTTAGAATTAATAAAGGCTCATCACGATAAAAGTAAATAGTATTTTAATAAATTGTTTTTGGTATATAATTTTTTTTTTACTGACAAAGAACATCAAGTAAAAAGTTTTCAAGGCTGCAAACATTGTCCTCTGTGTGGTTCCCTAGTTAAGTATTATAATAAATTTATAATATTTGAGAATAATTTCTTTTCTAATCTACAAGTATTTATTTACAAACACATATTTTTATCTCTTTATAGCTGATTGAAGAAAAGCTAAAGCCCCTTGAAATGAGCACGTCTAGTATATTAAACGAATTTTCTAGTAATGAAACATATTATGATGCTCATTACTTTAACCACTTGGCAAACTCCATGCTGGAGGCAAATCGTCTAACTTTTAATTTCGGTAGAATTTTTTTTCCTACTTTTAATTATTTTAAATCAGGAACTAACAAAGTGATTTCTAAATGAGGAAATTTAATTTTTTTAATTTTTCTTTAGCGAGTTTGATAAGTATAACAAATAATTTTTCAAAAGTCATTAATAAATTTTTCATAAAAATTAAAATTGTTCGCTTTATTATACGGCTTATGTACTTCTAGTGGTGTTTAGTAATAATAAACAAATAATATCATTATATATATTTTAAAGTATTTAAAAATTTAGATTATCAAGCATTATTTAAATTTTTGATGTTTTCCTATTAAAATTATGTAACAAATTAATTTATATTTATTTTTTTTTTTAATTTTTTTGAGTATCTTGAAAAATAAAAACTTTTTATTAAGTTAAATTTATTCGTATTATATGTAAAGAAAAATTTACAATTATTAATTAGTTACTAGTTTTCTAAAGTTTTTAATTAAATAATCTTAAAAGAGCAGACTTCTTCTACTTTTAAAGATGTTTACATTTCTGAAGCTGCTTTAATAAACGGATACTACAAGCGGTATTATTTTTTTACCTAGCTTTTCATTTTTGTAAAACAGTTTTAATTGTGATTCAAGTTTTCATCATAGGAATTGATTTATTTTTTATTTATTCGTGCTTTGCAGATTTTTTAAAGAAGTAAAAAAACTTGGCTCTGGCTTACGCGGGTCGGTGTACTTAGTCGAGCACGTGATTGGTGGAGAGGCTTTAGGCCGCTTCGCCGTGAAGATCGTTCCTGTGGGTATATATATTTTTGTTATTATTTAATATTAGATGATTTTTATTTGTAATTTTTCTGTAGTATATAAAATTTTTTTTAATGAGTACCGAAAGCTAAAAGGTTTTATAAAAGTATTTAATAACTTGAAAAAAAATTAATTTAGATTTAAAATATATATTATTTATATATATGTGCGTTAAATAAGTAAAAAAGTAAACCAAATAATTAGTAAGAGTGCTGTACTATAATTAATATGAATTATTATATTAATAAATATAAAACATTATTATTTATTTTTATTTTTTATTTTTTTTTGTATTATTAAAAGTCTGTATTTATTTATGTTGATATTTATTAATATTTAATTTTTTATAATCATATGTTGAGATATATGTGTTATTATTTGTAATATTGTAATATATAAATTAAACTATTAAAAGTAATAGATATAGTAATACAAACTAATAAACAAATTTAAATAAATAAAGCAAAAAAAATAAAATATTTAATAGTTAATAATATAATAAATACTGTAAACAAATTAAAAATATTCTAATGAAAGATTATACAGTAGCCAGCCAATGAAATGATTTTATTAAAAGTATTTTTGTGGTGGTTGGAGAGGTCACTGCCTATATATATTTAGCTTTACTTAAATGTTTGCGTTTATTCATGAAAAATAGTGGTAGTAACCCTCCAATAAAATGCTTTATTTAAAAAATATATCTATACTAAAAAAAAATATACTGATGATATAAAAGAACTGAGAGTCGCCGTTTAAGCTATTAGTAGAGAAGCGATATATTTTGCATTATTTTAATAATTTACTTCTACTTTATTATTATCTTAATGTTTATATCCAAAACTTAAATATTATTTTATTTTATTAATATAATAAAATTTTTATCATAATAAATGCTTTCAGTACTTATCGAAGAAAGTATTTTAATATAATAATAATATTACATATAAAAGCACTGAGTGTTGCACTTTAAAAATTTCAGGAGAGAAGCGATATTGTTTGGTTTTTATAATAATTTTCTTACATACTCTATTATTTATTGTTTTACAATTCCATTAAAAAATTTATTACTATTTAATATATTAATTATTATTATGAATATATTATCTAACAAACTTTTAGTAAAGTTTTCATTAATTTTATTTTTTATTATCAACTTTTCCTTATAATATTTGTTATATTCACTAAACTTCTTAAAAATACTACAACTTTTTATTTTTTGTATCAAGAAACTTTACGTTGTGTAATTTTTAAGGACTTTTTATTGTAATAGAAAAATTGTCACTTCTTTGATGAAGAAAGAAGCCAAAGAAAAGATTATAAAATAATAATAATAGGAATAAAAATAATAATATCCTTTATACAAGTAAAAATAATGTTATATGGAAAATAGCAGTTCTAGGTTGGTGCAATTTCCGGCACGCAAAACTTATATTAAAATGAGCGAAGCTTTACTTTTTCCTTACTTTAAATGAACTGTTATCGAGTTATTATATTAAAATTTGTTGAGGTTTAGCTGCTTCTTTTTTACTTTTAACAGTTTTTTATTTGTATGCAGTACATCTTTTTATATTTATAAATTCCTTTATGTTGTATACTTTTCCTTTATTTTTTTTGTATAGTACAATTATATTATGTAATTTTCATGTTAAATTTTTTTTATTCTATATTTTCACGTTATTTTTATTATTTTTTTTTTATATGAGGAGTACAAATTTATATTCGATAAACTATTAAATATATTTATTATACAATATTTTTTTGTTTATTATTAGTATCTTAATAAATTTATTGTATTTTATTATATATATGTTTTTATGTATAACAATTTTTGTATTATACTTGTATTAACTATTAAAAAAAATTATTTTATAAAACTTTTGAATGCTTTTTTTCTATATATATATATTATTTTATAATAAAAATTACAACCTTTAATTACGCTAAAAAAAGTAAATTTTTATACTTGTAACTTTTTATAACTTTTGTTTATGATAATAACTTTCTAGGAAACAACCAAACATGGCTATTGAAAACTTTAACCGAAGTCACTATATCTTCATTATTCATAAAGAAAAAAAATTATAGCTTATTGCACTAATCAGGTGCATGCATTAGAAAAGTTGCACCACCCCAACATTGTTGACTATAAGCACGCGTGGCTTGAAAATTACCGCGTGGTTGACTTTGGCCCTTCTGTATGGTTTACTTTTATATTGATATATTATATTAAATAATGACTTTTTACTTTATAAATATTATAATGCCATACTTTTTGTTGCTTTTTCATTAGTTCATGATTATTTTTTTTCTCTTTTTTTTATTAGGTATAAAATTTATTTTTATTTTTATATAGGTCCCCTGTTTGTTTGTATTAATAGAATACGCCAATAGCGGAAATCTTGCGCAGTATCTCAGTATCCCCCCAAATATTAATGATATTCATAATGAAAGATTATCGGGACGGCAAAGTAAAATTGAAAAAATTCGTGAACATTTGAAAATAAGAAGCCAACAACAACTTCAAGGTTTTTAATGAATTTCAAAATTAGCTTTTGATTGGTTGGAAATGTTGTGAACGAATTTTTTAAAAGGGACTCAATTTAGTACGAGTGGGGCAGAATTTACGAACCCAACAGGAAACTTCAGAATTTTTAGTGAACTTGAAATTTTATATATTATGAAGGACTTTCTGAGTGGTCTTCCCTCTTTTTTATATGCATAAAATTTAGGGAAAAATAAGCAATTTTTTAAAAAAAATTTTATTTTTTCATAATACTTTTTAAGATGCTCATTTAAAGTTTACAATTTTTTTTTATTAGAATGACCCCGTAGTAGTGAACTTTATTAGTTTATATATATATATTTCAGGTCTTCAGCATTTACACATGCATAATATTGTACATCGAGACTTGAAACCCCAAAATTTACTTCTTCACGATGATGAGGACCCCAACAAAGTTTTCCCTCACATACTTGTTTCTGATTTTGGTCGACTTTTTCATGATTATTATTATATATTTATATAATTGTATACCTTTTTTTTAGGTGAGTGCGAGATGATGTCTACTATTGGTTTACGGGCTCGGACGGGCAACACGGGGACTATAGAGTATATGGTGTCCTTATTTTTTCTGACTTTCTATATTTCTTCGAGTATCCTTATTATTATTACTATTAATACATTTACTGTATAGAAAAATAAATGTTGATGATTCGTCTATTAGTTTTATATATAATTAACTTATTGTCCAAATTATATATAATTTGGTTGCCTTATAATTTTCAGATACGGTTTGTAATTTGGTATACCTTAGGGTTATGAAATACTAATTTGGTTACACTTAATATTTATAAAGTAATTAATTGTTATTTAGTGTAATTACATGTTTAGCCCCAATTTATTTTTGGTTTTTTTTCAATAGTCATAGATATATTATACCATTATTATTTCGTTGAAATTATATTTTTAACACAACTTAAAATTAAATGTAATTTTTTATAATAAATTTTTTTATATATCAACTATGCGGTGTAATCTGTGTATATAGTGGCGAGTTAATATTATTTGTTACTATTAATTGTGCTTATAGTAGAAGTTGGTATTATTTGAATTTTTCGACACGATTTCTTATTTGATGTATATAGTATTCATGACTACGATTTATATTTTTCGCTACATTTATTTATTATTTGGTATTTTTTTCATTTTTATTTATTACTAAAAGTCTCCTGAATTACTACAAGTGGACGACGATGGACACTACTATAAAGTTTTTTACTGTTATTATAAAGAATTTTTTTTATTTATATTTTTTGTAGCGTTATTAAAACTTTTTCAATTGTAAGATTTATAATATTTTATTTATTTTGATGTACGACTTTATTTATTTTTTTATTTACAAGTTTTCGATACCATTTTTATAGTAAGTTTCTGTATTGAATTAATTATATTTAAAAAAAAAATTATTTTTTATATTCCAAAGTTTTCTACAATATTATTATATACAAAGTTTTATCTTGCAAAGTTTTTATTTTTCTTTTATTTATAATAAAAATCATTTCATTATTATATATTACATGTAATAGAGTTTTTTATTAATAAATTTTAATTTTATATCTACTTTTATTATTAAAAGAACTTTTTTTTATCTACTAAA